TCTCTCTCTCTCTCTCTCTCTCTCTCTCTCTCTCTCTCTCTCTCTCTCTCTCTCTCATCTATGACCCGATCGTGTGTAAAGTCTCCACCGAGTTTTTCACTTATTCCATCATACTCTTTATTTGTTTCCTATTCTTCCATTTGGATTTTTCCGTTTTTTTCTGTTCTCTTGTTCTTTATTCTTTTGCTTATGTTTTCTTAGATAATTGTGTGCTCGATATAAATTAAAAAAGGAAACATTTCAATCTATCAACAAGTATCTATACTATATAACTACTTACTTATTCCAAAGTGCGTTAAATATACCAGTTTGAAATAGAAAGAGAGAGAGAGAGATAATTCGTAAAACCATTACAAATATTACTTCTCATGTAATTCCTTCACAATCATATAGTCTATTTAATTTGATACTTAACAGTATCGAGGCTTTGAGAGTATACATCCTAGGACCAAAACAAATGCTTCTCCCTCTTTTTCTGCGTCTCGACACGCGTTCGATTTTCAGAACAGCCCTCGCTGATATTTAGCGGATCCAGGAAGAGAAGGAGGAGGAGTAGGCGAGGAGGGCACTCTCTCGTGTGCGCGCGTGACGTTTATGGCTCCGCAATGACATTTATGAGAATCGTGCAGTTTGTACATCGAGCCAGCGCGGCTCGGCGCGCCGCGCTTTCTCCGTCTCTCGCAATTTACCAGCGCGGCCAAATAAATCGTGTCCGCGATACCCACGGCGTGGCACAGTCGATAGTATCGAGCGGAGTGGTAAGCTGCGCCGCGGCCCTCGGTTCCCCGTCTGCTGTAACCGGGGCTCGAGTGTGCCACGGCACTCCTACATATCGTGTGTACACGGTGAGCGTTTTGTAAGTCGCAAAGTTCCGAAACCGCGGTTCGAATATTCAGAGGTGGCGCGCGTTTGGCACCAAATACAGCCATCTGGCGCTCCACGATGTCAGAAATCGCGTGCAATGTGCTCTCAATGTTGTAAACCACGCAGCATAAATTGTCTTGGAGAAGATATCTTGGAGACGTCTGAAAGATATCATACCTATTTTAAGTGTTTTTAGGATGTTTCCGAGATGTATTTTTGACACTTATGATCTGTCTAGGAAATATCTTAATAATAGTGAGATATGTAACGGCACATAAGGAGCAAGCACGGATGTCTTAGTGCTATTAAATACTAATATTACTTTTTAATATTAATATGATTGTGGGAGGATAAAATTGTCCAGTATGTTACGGCACATAAGCAAGCACGGATATCTTAGTGCTATTAAATACTAATATTACTTTTTAATATTAATATGATTGTGGGAGGATAAAATTGTCCAGTATGTTAAA